ATGTTAGAGCTAAGATCGGTCCTAAAAAATCGAGCCCGACCCGAAACGGCCCGAGGGTATTTAAGCCCGACCCGGCCCGAGCCCGATCACTTTGCTTGATTTGCAGGCCCGAGCCTGAAGCAAACCCGACATTTCATATTTGTGAGGACTCAGGAGGAGGAGGGGTGATTTCTGATAATAAAGCCTGTCTTTTGCAACAAAATATAAGTTAAACAAGACTGTATAAACATGTACATCTTTTATATTTCTGTCTCTGAAGAGGTTACATTAACAGACAATTTTCTATCTTTGACGGATTTTTTTTGAGAGGGTGGACGGGGAAAATTTAAGGCCATCCGTCATTTTGACGGGTTGAAAATTGGGCCGTAAACCACCGCAGCAGTACGTCCTTAAGAATCTAGCGCGGCACTATAAGAGAGAAGCAGAGAGACAAAAAAGAATAATGATGGGTGGATCATAGAGACAGGAAGGAGTTATTTGAATTGTCATTGCAAGAGTTTAGTACATAACGTGTTGTGATGAGGCGACTTCTGTTTTTTTGCGAACCACGGTCTCTCATGGCCAAAACTATTGACGGCCTCGGGGAAAAAAAAAAAAAAAAAGTAAGCGAGAGAGAAGCCCGACCCGACCCGAACCCGAAGCAATGATTGACATTTTAAGGCTTCGGGTCGGGCTCGGGCGGCCCGATCTTACCTCTAGTCTATGTATGTACATACGTACGTACAGGTTTGGAGCAATACATATTCCTAATACAAAACAAAACGTAACTTTTACGTAACGTAATCAGATTACAGGTACATTTAAAAACTGTGATTATTTCGCAGGATTACATTTATGACGCCTCAATAAATCACTGGCAAAGATAGATAAAGATACATTGTATGTTATAAATTATTTTGGGGCCCATTCAGTGAACTTGGATAATTTCACACAGCCCACGAGAGCTCTTTACACTAATGTGTCAGTGGCACAATGGTTGAGAATCACTGTTTTGTCTCTGGATGTTCGTTTTTTGCGAAGGATATAGGAAATAGGCCAACCCGCAAATAGGGGGCCCCTGTACACAAATGTAGCAATATTTTTTTTCTTATTCGGTCTCCATTAGCAATGGTATTAGAGTAAAACAAAGTAATTAAAAGTATTATTTCTATTAGCAAACTTCAACAATGGTCGCTCTTGCAAGCGTTAAACTTACATTTCACTCTGCATGAGGAGAGTTGTGGTCAAATATTTTGTCATCAAGTATTAGGTTTGATTTGGACAATTTTGATGGTCCACTGTGACATGTTCAGTAATTTCATTGGTCAGATGTGACGAGACTGAGAGTTAAAACTATGAGCGGCATGAAGCTCATCAGTGAAAATACATAAACAAACATCACATTTAAACCCACAGGGTTCAAAGCATGGCGCAAAAAAGGAGCGCTTTACAGTCTAGAAAGAACAGTAACACTGCAATTCTGCTTGTTCTTTGTTACCTCTGTGTTTCGTTGTACTTTGTCGGTCTTGCGTTTTTGTAAATAAACATTTTGTCAACTCTCATCCGTGTCGACAGTTGTGGAATCCGATTCTGTCTTGAAGTACTCTGGAACTCCTGACATCAACGACATCTTTCTGTCTTGCTCTCGACAAAGGCAGATGCTTTTTGCTCTGCTCCCCCACCCCCTTTACACTTCTGCTTTGATGACTTTGTCTAGTGTACTGTCTTCTGTTATAGCTTGATATAGCTTTCTTATTTTTTTTCTTCCGAAAAGACAAATCACGGAATTCGTCAGCTGGGCTCTCAGCACTATGAATAAATATTTTCGACAATTAGAGCAGGCGTGGGGGAGCCTTCTTGCCCCTCTGGGACATTTGCTGGTGAGTACACCTTAGGTCAGTGGTTCTGAACCTTGTTAGAGGTATCAAAACCAACCGGTTCAGATGCACATTCACCGAACCCTTCATTGGTGAAAAAATTAAAATATGATTTTTTTTTTTTTACAAACACACTTTTTAAAAACAGAAAAAGTATAAAGTATAACTTTTTTAATTGTGCACAAAATGAACCAGCCAGTGATGGCCAAGCAGGTGTGTCAATAACTACTAAACTGACATGTTGAGTCCAGTGGTCTTAACCTCCATGGCAGAGGCTCTGTCGAACCTCTGAGACTGATTCATTGAACCCCTAGGGTTCGATCGAACCTAGGTTAAGAACCACTGCCTTAGATCCTTGGCAGAAGTGGAGAATGGTGTGCTCGACAATATTGTCCGTAGAGGATGTGGAAGACATCTACATTATTGTCCTTTTGATAACAGGTATCCTGCTGTTTGGTGTTAGCAGATTCCTGATCTATTGCAAAATTCAGCCGGCGGGAGCAGCTACATTGGAAGCAAAAAAGCTGACGGCCTACATAGAGGGTGTGGGGGTGCGTGATCAAAACTCAGACACACATGTTGACCGAACTCAACCGCAAAGTGGATGTGGTGTTGGAGTCGCTTCGCAAAACGTAAAAGACCTGGAGAAGTTTTACTGTCCTGGAAAATTGATTGACTCATTGATCAAGAAGTCGGCAGATTGTCATCGTGGAGAGTCACATGCTAAAAGACATTCAAAGCTGTCTGAATTTGTAGATGGCCTGTTCTCAAAACAATAATTTGGACTTTCCCCTGCATGGAAAAAAACAAAACAAAACACATGGACGCATGTATCATGATCTTTCTCTGCTTACTCCCCCAAGCCTGTCACTGATAAGGTCTTGGCCTTGCAGCTGCAGGTGCAATGTCAAAGTCTTTGTTGGATTCGTATTACTCTGCTCCCTCCAAAGTCACAACTGGAGAGACTTGAGGGCACGACTGTGTGCAGCTTGTTTCACAGATTGTGACACAACCCCCAGCTACCTCCCCTCCCTCCCTCACTCTGTTCATTACATATTAAATCTTGTGAATTGAATCAAGAAATCTTGAGAAATATCCTCCTATTTAAGGAGAATGGTTGGAGTCAATGTTTATTTTTTATTCTATGGTTTTTGACTGAGCAGTCTCTGCATTGTTTTAGTGTTTTATGGTGTTTACTGTTTTTTTTAAATTGTTTAAACAAACTGTTTTTGTCTATTTTTTTTATTCCATGTAAAGCACTTTGTAAGCAAGCAATAGCTGTTTTGCTCTAGAGATAAAGTGGAATTGAGGGTTTTTTTTTAATGCTTTATAATGAAAGTTGGGTTGATCTTTTTTTTTTCTTTTTAAACAAACATTCAATTATTACGGCCTTTTAGTCTTGTAACTGGGGCACAAAATAAAATAGTCCATTCAGCTTCTATAAAAATAACTTCCCTAGAACACTCTTAATTAATTGAGAAGGACATGCGTATGTAGCCCATAGCAAGCAAGCTCACTTGATAACATGCTAATATTCATGAGCACTTGAGTGTTGCTGCTGTTCAGTGTATTCTAAATGCAAAACGTGAAATTCCCTACCTGGAAAAGTTTGTAGAAGTAGGCGTACTGGCGTGCTGTGTTCTTTAACTGGCGAAAGACATCCTGAACAGCTTGTGTGCCCAGAAGCAGCTTCACCTCTTCTGGCTGGTAGTACAGTGGGGTACTGTAATCCAGGGGAAGACTGCGGATATATGCTAGCCACGTTGATGTGGGATTGGCCCGCTCACAAAGCAGGTGGAGGGCAAGTGCCACATTGCCCATTGCCTTCAAAATTCGGTCTTGGCGTAGCAGAGGTCCTAAGACACAGAGCTCTCATTAAAAGTCGACATTGCTTTGGCAGAAAAACAATGTCACACATATCAATAAAGCATAGGAAAAAGGTCTATGTGGTGTAATGCATGAAACACAATACATAGAGTGAAAATGTAATTCGGGCTGTTGGGGGACAGTGGCCCTCTTTCCCCTGCGTGCTCGTTGAATTTCGGATGAGGAGGATATTGGATATCCAAATACAGGCTGGAGTCAATGAACAGTACCTTCGAAGGGTTTATTCGCAGAATATTCCGGGCACCCGCGATTTACAGACAATGGCTGCAGTGTAGGAGTGCAAAGAAGGAAGGAATTCACAACATATTTATATCATCAGAAGGGCGGTACCGAAACTCATGGTGAGGCATCAGGACTTTCGTTTCTCCTAAACCGATTCTTACTTAACTTGTATCAACTGGTGCATTCCTATGTCTGTGCGTCTCTACAAGGTCTCCAGTAGGGAGTGTTCCAATTTTAAGTGATGATTGCTTCAAGGACGCAGAGTCTCGCTGCGAGCATGTGAAAGTTATACATCATGACTAAATATGAGCCGAATACACACTTCAGGGCCCAAACAGTGATCTCCGAGGTCCCTATTGTTTGTGTAGAACTTATGAGTGGGAACATGAAAAATGAATCCAATCCCTTTGTAGTCAGGCCTTGAGGTGGGGCTTGAAGGCAAGCTGGTGGCCCGGTCTACACCCATAGGGCCCAGCTGAGCTCAGCCCAAAAGGACAACACGGGTCCCCCTTCCTGTGGATTCACCACCTGAGGGCGAGGTCAAAGGGTGCATAGGGAGCTGAATGGCAGCTTTGGCCTTGATTTTCCGTTCCCCAGCGAGAGAAGATGGCTCTTGGTATGTGGAATGTCTGGTAGAGAAAGAGACTGAGCTGGTCTGTGAGGTAGAGAAGTTCCAACTTGAAATAGTCGGACTCACCTCCACATACAGCTTTGGTCTTCTTGAGAGGGGTTGGACTATTCCACTCTGGAGTTTCTCGCGGTGAGAGGCGCAGAGCAGGTGTGGGCATACTTTTTCCTCGCAGGTTAGTGCCTGTACATTGGGGTTCACCCCAGTGGACAAAATGGCTGCCTCTCTCTGCCCTCAGGTGTCAGAGTACCCACCCTTTTTGAAGTCCTTGGAGGGTAAGCTGGAAAGTGCTCCTTCTGGGTACGCCATCATGTTGCTGGGTGATTTCGTGCTCCCATGCATGGGCAATGACAGAGAAACATGGAGGGGCATCATCAGAACCCAAACGGTGTTCTGTTACTGAATTGTCTATAATCACCACCATGTAAAAGCATAAGGGTGTCCGTATGTGCACTCGGCACAGGACACTCGAGGCAAGCATTCGATGATCAACTTTGTGGTTGTGTTATTGGATTTTCGGCCACGTTTTGGACACTTGGGTGAGAGAGCGGCAAGAGCTGTCAACCAATCACCACCTGGTGGTGCGTTGGCTCTGACGGTGGGGAAGATGCCAGTCCGACCTGGCAGACCCAAACATATTCTGAGGGTTTCCTGGGAACGTCTGGAGGAAACCCCTGTGAGAAAGAGTTCCAACTCCCACCTATGGCAGAACTTCGCCCGCGCCCAGGGGGAGGTGGCAGACATTGAGTCCTAGTGGATCATGTTCCATGCAGCTGACCAAAACTGTGGCCATAAGGTGGTCACTGCCTGTCGTGGCGACAATCTCCGAACCTGTTGGTGGAAACAAGCGGTAAGGGATGCCATCAAGCTGAAAAATGATTCCTCTTGCGCCTTTTGGACCTGTGGGTATCCAGAGGCGGCTGATGGGTACCGGCTGGCCAAGCAAAATGCAGCCTTGGCAGTCCATGAGGCAAAAATTGTGCGAGGGAGAAGTTTGGCGAGGCCATGGAGAATAACTCCCAGAAGGCTTCAAAGAAATTCTGGTCCACCATTCGGCATCTCTTGAGAGGTAAGTAGTGCATGGTCAACACTGTATACAGTGGGATAGGTGCTGTTGACCTCAACACAGGATATTGTGAATTGGTGGAGAGAATACTTCAAAGACCTCCTCACTTCCACTGACATGAGGATCACACTCCTCAGCTTACCCAGTCTATTCAAGGGTGCAGGAGACTAGGGTCCATCAGAAAGTTGAATCTCAGGTCCAAGAGGAGCAGTGAGGTTTTCTTCCTGTCTGTAGAACAGTGGACCAGGTCCTATGCATTGTACTCAAGGGTGTATGGGAGTTCACTCAACCAGTCTACATGTGTTGTGTGGACTTGGAGAAGGCTTTGACCGTTTACCCTGAGGGATCTTGTGGAAGATGCTCTGGGAGTATGGGGTATCGGACGCCCTAGTACGGGCAGTACGATCTCTGTACAACTGGTGTCAGGGTTTGGTCCACATTGCCAGCAGCAATTCATATTAATTTTCAGTGAAGGTTGGACTCCGCCAAGGCTACCCTTTGTCACCGATTCTATTCTCTTTTACGGGCAAAATTTCTAGGCGTAGCCAAGCTGTTGAGTGCGTCCGGTTTGAGGCGAGCTGCTGTGTCTCCAAATTGAGAGGAGCCACATGAGGTTGCTCGGGCATCTGATCTGGATGCCATCTGGACGTCTCCTTGGTGAAGTGTTCTGGGTATATCCCACTAGCAGGAGACCCCAAGGACGACCCAGGACATGCTGGAGAGACTAAGTCTCCCACACATGGAGGAGCTGGGACAAAGTTCCTGGTTAACCTTGTGACCCATGCGACTTGGGGGAAGCAAATCAATGGATAGATTAGTAGTGAGCCTCAGCAGCAACTGCTGCAAGGTACCTATTGTTTTTATTGAAGTAATTATTTTGATAGCATTTTTTTCTTTAATATTCTGCAAATGCATCACATTTTGGGAGACCTAAATATGCCAGAAAACTCACCAAACTGCAAACTCATCAGGCCTCGCAGAAATTTTCATATTTTAAAGTTATCATGCACAATTACAAAAAAATGGCTCTGGCACTAGAGTGGTGAAACAAAATCCAAACTCGTTATGTTTTGACTATAGAAACCAGGAGGCATGTGAAGCCCACTGACATATACCAAAAAGTATACAGAAGCCCTTTAAAAGGAACAGGAAGTAGACAACAATTTTTTGAAAGACGCCGCAGAAGTAAAATTCCACCCGTTTGAAGACATGTACCCTGAGAACACATCTACAAATGTATTTTTCATTGCACTCATAGCCCTATTGGCTCGAGGAAATGTGTTATTCTTTTGTGGGGGGTTTTTCCTCGCAGGTTTACCGGATCTACCTCATATTTTCTGAATGTGGTGTGTTAAGGCCTTCATGATGTTAAAACACAAAGTTTGTGAGTCATTGCTAAATGGTGTTATCGTCAACGATGCTCGAAAATCAATCGGGAGTGGGCCGGAGGTGCCCCACAACTAGCAAGAAGCAATGAAATAAAAAATTGTAACTTTTAATTGGTTTCATACTACTGAGGAAAGGATGATCTGAATTCCTTACCCAGGATGGAATTATGTGCTGATTCCAATGTCATCAGTATCTTCCGAGGAATGCACAAGAACAGTTCTTCTGCCTATACAGAGAATACAACCGGCACAAAAAGTAAGGAAAACTTGATGTTTGGGAGATTATATTTCATTTACGGCACCTCCAGAACAAAGGAAAGGCGTTTTAATCATTGATATTTTTCTCATAGTGGGTTAACCAGATCTATTGGTTGGACTGGAAGAGTTTCAAGGCCACAATGTCAAACTCAAGGTCCGGGGGATATATTTGGCCCATCACATCATTTTATGTGGCCCGCGACAGCAAATCAAGCATGTCAAGTTCCATGATGCTTGCTAAAGTCTGAACCAACATTTCAAATTCTCATCAATAATAAATAAGAGAGATATTGTAAGCATTTTCTTGTTGACAAACCTGTCATTAGAGTAACTTAAACAATAGTTGAATAAAACATTATTTTTGACTTCTTGATATGATTTCACAGTCATAATGGTCCTCCAAGGGAAACATTAACTACAACGTGGCCCGTGACAAAAATGAGTTTGACACCCATGGTTTAGCCCCTCATTGTATTATTATATTATATGAACAAAGAGTTTGTGAGTTTTTGTGAAACACTGTTGCCGTGGCAATGCACAGTTCTTCAGAAAAAACAATGCTGATTTTGAGGGTCTAAAAATGCATGGAAACTCATGATACGTTGCACACGTAGCCTGGCTAAACCAATATTTTATTGGTTTACAAAATATATATTTTTTTGTCATGGACATATTTCTCAACCCAACTGTATTTGTAGAGAACTTTAAAACAACCATCGCTGTATACAAAGTGCTGTACATGGAGAAAAAAAATAATTCTCACAACAAACAATAAAAAATACATTAATAACAAAGACAGTAGAAAGCACAAAAAGAGTAAAACTAAAAATCAAGTCTAATGCTGAGTCAAAACAATTCAAATGAGTTTTAAGATGAGTTTTAAAGATGGGCAGCGAGGGGGCTTGCCGAACGCTCAGTGGGAGGTCATTCCAAAGAGAGGGACCGGCAATGGAAAAGGCTCGATCCCCTCTGAGCCTCAGCTTAGTTCTCGGTAGCTCTAATAGTGTCTGGTTCGCAGACCTAAAACACCGTGCAGGTGCATCGGGGCAGAGGAGCTTAGAGAGATTGTGGCGTGAGGCCATTTAAAGATTTGTTAACAAATAATGGAATCTTAGACAACACTCGAAAAGGTATAGGGAGCCAGCAAAAGGATGCCACAGTATGAGTTACAGTATGTGCTCCGTCTTATGATTCAAACCAACGCTTAATGACGGAGTGGCTGTAATCAAAGTGCATTACAGTAATCCAGCCGAGATGTGACAAAGGCATGAATCACTGTTTCAAAATGCTCTTGAGAAAGGAGAGGCTTTACTTTAGCCAGCTGCCTAAGACTAGACAAAAAGATTGGAGCACCAGTTATTCAGCGAACGTTACAATATTGCTCCCTTTTACCATCAATACCTCGAAATGGGCCAGTGGAGGTGCCCTTTAATTCACGGCGGCTACTTTGGTGAGCGTAACTTGGCCACCTGTGGATAGTATTATACAAGCATGGAGACACAAACAAATAAGACTTTCACAACATGTTCAATTAATTCAGTAAACTGCTGTAACATTAGTTATTTTTCTACAAGTAATATTACATGTGTTGCTGTATCGATTGTGCTTAAAGTAGCAACATGACAGGGGGCTGCCATATTGATGGAACTTTCTTTAAAAAAAAAAAAAAAACATGAAATGAGCACTTAGTTGCCTCTCACATCCCAAATCACTGAAGAACTGATAAACTTCACTAGTAATCACAAATAATAATGAAAGCGAATGAACTAAATTCAAGTCATAAGCACATATGTCTCTATAATTTTAGAAGAAAAACATACCACCTGTGCAATGACAAACTCATGTTTAAAGGTCAATTTTGACAACTGAGGTCAATATGACTTTTATACTAACATCTACCTTTTTAGGGGGTTCATATCTACAGTATAGCACAATAGACACCACAGTTGTTCTCACCTTTATATCTCTTGTGGCTTGAAGGCCATAGCCTTCTTTTCCAAAGTTGGCAATTTGGAGACCATCACAGGAAGACCCATTCGCTTTTGCCCAGGACACCAGGTCTTGGAAATGGCTGTGTCGGCAACCATCAAATATAACCGACATACCTGGAATTGGACAATATAACATTTTAGTGTCATTTGAAATCCAAATTAGAAAATAAACAATTAGCTAGTGTTGGAGCGCACAACATGCCACAAAAACCCTTGAATTGTTTCCATAACAATTACGCTAGGGGCCAAAAGTGTGATTTTTTTATTCCAAAAGCATGTTCCTGAAAATGTTCCGATTTATTTTGTTTCAATGCTTCTTTCAAGCAGGTTGTTTTTTTGTGTGTCTGATGCAAATCATTAAAATAAAGAATGTTATTCTTTATTTATCTAGTTTATTTATGCAGATTTATTGTATTTCTGTGTTCTTGCTCTTCGATCACTATGAGATTTTCCATTTTCAGACCAAATTACAGATCACAAAAATTGAAACTTTTGTTAAATTTCTTTGAAACAAAACTATAGAAATAACAACTTCATATATCTTTTCCCATTTAATTGATTTGCATTATTCTATTTAAAGCCTAGTGGGCTGCAGTATTTCTCCACGTAATTAAGCAAATGCGTATCAAGATCTCTCTTTGTCTGGCCTCTTATTCTGTGTTTCAGCATTATTTCGTTGTGCAAATGCATTTATCATGTTCATAAAAATATGTAGATGATTTTAACCTTGTGAATCTTGCATTTTTTTCTGCCAAAAATACTATGGGATAAATTGAACTAAAAATTGCAGGCCATGAAATTTTCAAAAAGAAAAGTGTTGAAACTTGTACGTAGATTTCTGGATGAGTGCGTAATGCCCTGTTAGTGTCAGAGCTAGTAGCGTAGTCCAAGAAACACCGTGATTAAATCTGTATTTTGTCACAACTCGCTGTGATGTTGCTACCCAAACATCACAGTGCGCTGAGGCGTTTCGAGGCCGTGAATAGTTTTGGCCACAAGAGACCGTCGTTCGCAAGATCTCATTTTCTAATTATTTTCACAAATCAACTCACTCAAAATTTTAATATTATTCAAGTACTATGTTTGTCTTGCATATCCTTTCACAACTGAAAAATATTTTTCTAAAGAAAATTATATATGCATACTGCATAGGCTATATCACGATATTTCCCCCCCCCCCATATATTGTGCAGCCTTAGCACAGTGCACACTTGCAACGTGCAGGGTTCTGCGTGAGCACTTCAAGAGTGGTGAGTCTCTGCCGCTGGTTTTGCAGTGATTTAAAACCAGCACTGAGTTTGATTGGGAGGAACGTCGGCTCAACTTGACTGTTGTCGCTGGCACTTGTGTTTTTAGTGCCTGTAATGGGCAGCATTTTTCACAACCCTTGTTTTGTTTAGCGGAGATGTCGGCGCTTATTGGACATTCTGCGAAGGTCCGGTTGGATGGATGGCTTGAGGAGCCATTTGGAACTGAGAGTCCCCGCTTGGAATTGAAACAGATTTTGATGGCACAGGAGAAGTGAACCAATCACTTTCTTTCGTCGATGGATGCCACAGCTTCTTGTTTACTTTCAAACTTAGCTTGTCGCCAATGTGTGCACATTTTGAGCACGACGTCTTTGATCCACTGGTGAAAGGACACTTTGATTCTCTCCTCTTTCATCTCAAACTGCTTTAAACAACAAAGCGTATGAGGGAAAAGTGGTGAAGAATGTATGACTGTCCGTGTTTTATGTTATGTGTTGTGTTTTATTATTTTATATTAACTGTTTTGTAAAGCCCTTTCTTACAGCTGCAGCTGTTGTGAAAACGCTATATAAATGAAGACGAAGCAAATTTGTAGCTGAAAGTGATTTGCCTGTCCTGGTCTATTGTCTTGTAGTTGAGTACTGCAACTGCTCGTCTTGTCTGTTTTATGATGTCTTACCTATTTGGTTCTTATTTCTGTCATCGTGGTTTAAAAGTTTTATGTGTCCAACTATGATATTTTAGAAACCTGCCTTGGGAATGCGGCTGAAAACTAGCATTTATGCGAAGTCCAGTG